CAGGCTCAATACATATAGTATAATCGATAGATATTATCCAATCGATAATAATGCAATTAGGAGGATAAACTGTGTTTCAATGTGTTGGTAATATTTTACGCTTAAATTGGTGTAGTGGTAAATTTTGTGTTAATTGCTTATTTTGGGAGCAAATTGGGTTTCCAAACTAAATGGGTTGTAAAATAATTGGAAAGGAGTAATACGGAATCAAAATTTGTAAAATTTTCTTTTACTAAAATAAAATGATGGTGATTTTGGTAATTTGTACTAAGTGTGCAAACTGTACTATGTGGTACTAAATTTGGGGCGAACGGATAAAGCTGAAATTTTCAAATTATACCATACAACACTATGTGTTGGGGGTATTATAAGTTTGATTGGGCCAAAAATTAAGTAACACCTCGAAATATTGGTTTCCCACATAGGAAAGTATATATGGGTCTTCCTAACTCGCCGAGCTGAGTCGATCTAACTATGTATGTCAGTCCGTCCGTGTGTCCGTCTGTCCATGTTAATTTGTAATCAAGCGACAGGTCGCAATTATGAACCGATCCTCACGAAATTGAAAATGGAGCAAAATAAATACAATACATATGTAAAAGAATTGATCTTATTTATTCTGCTTATAAATCAAGAACCGCTGGGCCGATTTTCACAATTCCGATTAATTCGGAATGGTCTCTTGCCAAAAAAGGATAAAATCTAAGAGAATCGCAGGATAATATACCAATAAAAAAGTTATATCTTTTGTTTCCTTTTTTCCATTATTGTCATATTTTTTTATCGCATGCAATTTTTTCAGTTTGACTTACAATTTTGAATTTTAAATTTTCTAAATTTTTACACCCCCCAACACTACGTTTTGAGGGTATTATATGCATGTTGCAATTATCGTCCGATCTTCACGAATTTTTTGCAAGGGTCAGAATTAAAGCCTATTGTTTTTAAGATGTACATTTAGAGGTGCAAATGGTCTAAAAAATTTAATTTTTTCTAATTTTTGTCGCTCTATAGACCACAATTGAAAACTAATCGATACGGAATTCACATCAGAAGAGAGTTAAGGACAGGGAAGAAGTCTAGCATTTTGGATGACCATTGGAATATATTTAGCTGTAAAATGGACCACAGCTTTCGTGTGAAATTGTTGTGAATGCTTAACAACACTACGGAGTGAGTAAATATTGGCCAAATTTTCCGGGTCAAAAAACTAAGGGTAACCGCTGGGCAGAGCTCTTTGAAAAAACGAAATCTTCCAAAATGGATTTGGATACAAGGGACTTCGAACATATTGTAGTCTTGTAAGGTATCGCATGGTCGGCCCCGCACGACTATAGCCTTTGCTTACTTGTTTTTGTCTTAAATTCATACTTCTTAAAGCATGTTAATTCCCAGATCTGACCTATATTAGTGGTCTGGGGGTACCGCTACATGGGGACCATGCCAAAATGTAAAAATGTAAAATGGTGTTGTACCCTCCAAAGCCGCTTAAGTAAAAAAAAATAGCCAAATCGATTGAAATGTTTTTAAGACCCTACCTTAATTTGAGCGCTGCTTCCAACCAAGATTGAACATTTTTGGCAACGACGATCTCTGTTTACTAAGAAACCAAATTTTCTAAATTTGTATAAACAAGTAAAAGAGCTGTAAGTTCGGCCGTACCCTCCACCATTTGGAACGAATTTGGCAATTTTCAAAAAAATAAAACACGTTAAAAATTCTGTTAATGTTTTAAAAAAATCGAATGTAGCCGTTATACTTAGATCTACACTACGACGTGGGCCTGCATTGCAACTATTGTCATAAGCCATTGCAACATTCAAATGTGAAACTTGAAATAAATTTCTCTTAAATCACCAAAATACCGAAAGTAGGGAGGTACCATTATATGGGGGCTATATCAAAACGTGGTCCTACATGGCCCATTTTCAACACCAAAAGTCCTACAGACATAATATGCATTTGAGTAAAATTTTATCAACCTACCGCATTTCGTTTGGAAGCTAGAGTGATTTTCACAGATATACGGACATCACTAAATCGACATAGAATTTTATGCTGATCAAGAATATACAGAGCGAGGTGAAAAAACTGTAACCAACTTCAGACTTTTGTCATTTCTAAGCCGCTCGTACTACAGCTGTTAAAATTATTTCAGTGACAGCTCATGATATTGTTTACAAGCGTACAAAAGCATTTTGGTGAGAATTTTACAGAAAAACAGTTATTCGTGATGGAATTCAAGCGAACCACAAGTGGCTATCATAAGAGCACTCCAGCATTTATGTGTGAATAAATCTTTTGAGTCTCGTACCAAGATGGTGTAGTCCGACGTCAAGGAAGTAGAAGTGGCCGCAGACCTTGGAGATTCCAACAGGACTCAGCACGCGCCACCCAAGAATGGTTACAAAATGAGGTTCCTTGCTCCATTTCCAGCGCACAACGGCCAAAAAATTGACCGGATACCAATCCGTTGGACTATTGTGTCTGGAGTATTTTGGAAAGCAAGGTTGGCACTAAAAAATACACAAGGGTCGATCACCTCAAGCAAGCCCTTCGCCGGAAATGGGCCAAAATACGGCAGAGCAATATGCCGGCAGCGTGTGACGGTTTCATTGGCCTTTTGCATTCCATAATTCGTGCCAAAGGTGACCGATTCGAACAAATCTAAAATTATTCTAAAATTTGATGCTATATCCGACATTTTTTGCTTTCATTCAATAAAATTTAAAAAAAGTACAAATTATGGCATTAGACTTTGTTGCAGTTTATTTTATCTCACCCTGTAAACGTCTATATAGGGAATTTATGTGAACAGATTATACGAACTAAGATCGTTTTTGCATGCGTGTTATGGGAGGAATATTCTACTATTCTATGGGAGAAATACTCTACTCTGAATCGGTTTCTACAAAATTTTTAGAAAGCATTTGTGTCTGAACCGATTTTCAAAAAAAAAAAAAAAATATATATATATATATATATATATATATATATAATATTTGTGCTGTCATTACACTTTTGGTGCATAGTAAACAGGTTTGAGGTACTTAGACACCATATCGGATGATACACATCTCACCTGATTATCACCAAATTTGAAACACTTTTTCTAGGATGACTTCCGTCGGATGTGCCGAAACCTATCCCATTTGAACGAATACGTCTAGCGCAATAAATACGTGAGCTATATCTAAATTTGGAGCGATTATCAAGAATGACAATGGGAATCGTCCTTAAGCCAAATAAATGATTTCTGCAAAATTTAATCTCAATCGAACAATACATGTGACCTCTACTTCGTTTTACAAAGATTAAGATTTTTAATGCACTCTGGAATAATAACCTGAAAATTAAAAAAAAAAATGGTGAGAAGGGGGGAGGGGGGGGTGTACTTGCTCCCTCTAAATTGAGGTTTGTTTCACATTCCATTAAAATACAGTATAAAGATATGAAATTTTCAACGTGCCCACTTGATTAGGTATTGCTGCTGTTGAAATTGGATAATGTTTACGTATTGTACTGCTTTTTGCAGTTAACTGTGCTTAACTGATGTGCTGTCTCAAATTTGGGCAACATCTCAGCTGACCTCATTTATTTCAATCCTAACTCTCAAAGTAACCATTAGTCCTTCTAAATGTAATCCAGTATTTCTTACAATTCACGTTAATTTGGCCTGTAATAACACAGACTATAGCCATCATCAACAGACGTTTTTGTGGCGTAACAAAAAAGTTTAAGATGTTGGGATTTATTTAACATCAAACTGTTCCTTTCAAGGACAATGTAACACTTTGTAACAAATTATTCCAGTTCCACTTTCTTTAAATTTCACTTTCACTTGCCCATGGCCCACATAAAAATGCGGCAACATGTTGCATTCAACATGTATCTAACAAAAACATTACATGAGAATGAGAAACATAAAGAGAGAGCCATTTCAGCAAAACAACGCATTCTCAGTTCTTTTCATTCTCCCTTTTCATCCTACTCAACATAGCAAGTGCTTGGGAAGTGTGGTGAATTTCTTGTAAATTTTGAATGAATTTTTCGTGAATATAACTCCGAATTGCCGGCAAGCGGCGCATGTGTTGTGTGGTGAGTTTCAACTGCAGTAGACCATTCTTTTCCTTTTTTTTGGTAGAAAGATAATATGTTTTGATATTGGCCAACAAAGGACGCTGCTAGTTTAAGGCAGTGCGTCGTATTGTTAACAAGCATACATCGGGGGCTATAATAACAAAACACAAATCTCTGTCAGTGCTGTGGGAAAGAAATGTCAATGAATGGGCAAATGGAAAAACAAAACATATGAAAATGGAAAACAACATAAATGAGCAACACATTCATCATCATGGAAACTAATTAATGGGCAACAAATTTCGATTCGAATCAAACATGGTGTAACGGATGTGTGTTTGAAAGTGAATTTTTGAATAGAGTTTTTGACAACACAAGATGTGATATTGTTTAAAAAAAATAAATAAAGAAATCAAAGAAAATTAAGAAAAAATCAAAATTTACAAAATTAATAAAAATTAATGAGAAAAATTAAAAATAAAAACAAAGTGAATAAAAAAATAATTAATAAAAAATTAAAAAATAAAAAAAAACAAAATAAATAAATAACAGTTAAGAATATGGAATAATACATAAAATGGTTTATTTACTGTTACATAAATTGCAATGCAATCAAAAATATCAAACAACGAAAATATAATTAAGTGGAGTTGCAAAATAAAATAAAATTATAATTCTGAAAAAATAAAAATGAGAAAATGTGAATAAAATAATATACATACAATAAAAAAAAAATAAAAAAATAAATAAAAAATGATAAATAATCCACTGAAAAATTAATTAAGAAGATTATGTTCTTCCCACACTTATTCTTGGATAAACAAGCTTAAAATTATTGGGTACACAAATTAAAAAAAAATAAGTAAATAAATAAATAAAAAATAAAAAATAAATTTAATAAAAATTAATATATTATAAAATGGAGGCTTATAAAAAATAATCTTGGAGAATATTGCCTTTTTGTGATTGGATTTATCATGACCGGGGATAAAGTTTGAAAAGCAAAATAATATACAACAATAAGTGCAAAAGAAGTGGATCTTCTCACCTCGGTATAATTTCATTATGGGAAATGACAAAATAGTGATAACCTCAAAAATATGTGAGAAATGAAAAGGAAAAATAATTAACATTAAAAATTTGTCAAAAATTAAAACAAGTGTTTTTAAGGTAGAAAGTTCAACATTTCAAAATATTAAACAAGAAAACTGTAATATTGGAATCTAATCGTATCGAAACTATTATCCAAACTCGGCTAATATCTGTGCAAAAGAGAATAAATTTAAAATAACAACCACGTCTAGTTTGCAAGTTGGCAACACTGTTCTTCAAACAAAATCAAAAATGAACTAAAACAATGTGAAAACAAGTAAGGTACGGCTTTAGGAGGGTCAAGCCAACCATGTGATACCCTAAACCATAATTCTTCCGTCTTGGTAAAATCCTAGGTATTTATTTTTGGGGATTTCAAACCTTCTTATATAAGACAAGTAAAAAAGCTGTCAGTTCGGTCGGACCGTATTTCGAATACCCTCCAACACCTCTGAAAAGAATTTGAGAATTTTCAAAAAAATAAAATCCGTTAAAAATTCTGTTGAAATTTTAAAAATAATGAATGTAGCCGTTATATTAGGGTCTATACGACGACGTGGACCTGCATAGGCAACTTCTGTTTAAGCCATTACAATATGCAAAAGCGAAACTTGAAAAAATCGGTGAATAATGTAGCAAAAATAATCAAAATACCGAATATCGCGAGGTGCCGTTATATTCATGGAAGGCGTAGACCTGCACGAACAATTTTTTTGTCATAGGCTGTAGTATCCATTACGAACTTCAAATGCCAAATTTTAAACATTTCTGCTTTGAATCACCAAAATAACGAAAATAGGGGTTATATGGGTTCTACACCAAACCCATTGACATCGAAAAGTTACTTCCCCCCTCCTCCATACTTTTGGAAATTTTCGGATTAATATCCCTTGGAATCAGAACATTTTATGAATACAGAGTCTTCGGCAAAATTGTTGATAAAATACGAGAAATATTTTGGTCGAATATTTTAACCCTTAATCGATTCAAACAAAGGGGTCTTTTTGTTCCTTTTTTATACCTTCCACCATAGTATGGAGGTTGGTTAGTAAAATTTTACTCAAATGTGTGCTTAGTCTGCAGGACTTTTGTTATTAAATATGGGTTACCTAGGACATGTTTAGGTATAGCTCCCATATAACTGTACCTACTTGTATTCGGTATTTTGATGATTTTCGCGATTTTATTCACTTGAACTGTTTAAAATTTCGTATTTAAAGTTCCTAAAAGCTACTACAGCTTGTGAGAGAAAATTTTCAATGAAGGTCCATGTCTCGGAACCTCCCTATATTCGGTATTTCGATGATTTCAGTGACATTATTTACCGAAATATAATAGTCAAATTTCGTATTTGCACTTCGTAATGGGTACTACAGCCAGATACTACAGCCTGTAACAGAAAATTGTCTATTCTGGTCTATGTCTTCGCATAGCCCCCTTAATTGGTACGTCTCTATATTATATTTTGATGAACTTGGCTACACTATTCACCGGAATGGCTTCAAATTTCGTATTTGCACTTTGCAACGAGTATTACAACCTGTGACAGAGGTCTTCGGTAACTCTCTAAAGACGGTATTTTTCTATTTTTTAAATTTCGTATTTTCCCTTCGTAATAGGTACTACTACTTGTGACAGAAAATTGTCTATGCGTGACAGATAATTGTCTATTCGTGACAAATCCGTCCGTCTGACCATGTTAATTTGTAATCACGCTACAGGCCGTATTTATGGTCCGATCCACATTCTGAGCCAGTTTATGCATGTCCGTCCGTTAGTCTGTCCATTTTTGTAAAGACAAGTAAAAAAACATTAAGTTCGGCCGGGCCAAACTTTTAATACCCTCCACCCTAGGGTAAAAGAACATTAGAAAAAATGTGGCAAAAAACATTAAAATGCGAATATCGGGAGGTACCGTTATGTAGGGGCTACACCAACACGTGCACCTATAATTACAATGTTTCGCCACACGCTCAGGGACCCGTTGTGACCTACAAATACCAATTTTCAGACAAATCCGTGAAAAAATGTGGCATAAATCATCAAAATACCGAATATCGGTGGGTACCGTTATATGGGGGCTATACCAAAACGTGGACCTATACATGCAATGTTTTGCCACACGCTCAGGGACCCGTCATGACCTACAAATACCAATTTTCAGACAAATCCGTGAAAAAATGTGGCATAAATCATCAAAATACCGAATATCGGTAGGTACCGTTATATGGGGGCTATATCAAAACGTGGACCTATACATGCAATGTTTTGCCACACGCTCAGGGACCCGTCATGACCTACAAATACCAATTTTCAGATAAATCCGTGAAAAAATGTGGCATAAATCATCAAAATACCGAATATCGGGAGGTACCGTTATATGGGGACTATACCAGAACGTGGACCGATATATCTCATTTTCAATACTAGGGACAATACACACACATCCTAGGGACAATACACACACTTGTGCCAAATTTCAAAGGTCTACGTCAAATAATGTGGGCTCTATCGTGATTTCAACAGACAGACAGACGGACATCGCTAAATCGTCTTAGAATTTTATGCTGATTATGAATATATATACTTTATGGGGTCTACGACGAATATTTAGAGGTGTTACAAACGGAATGACAAAGTTAATATAACCTCCTACCCATGGTGGAGGGTATAATACCGGTCGCATTAATTGTCCGATGATATTTTCTACAAATCATTTCTTTTGCCTAAGGACGAATTTCCATTTTACTGTGAGCCATATGTGTAATAATTCGACATAGCTATAATATTCACTATACAACAATGATGTTTGGTACCAAAAAAACTTTTCTTAAATTTTATCAAGATCTGGATATAGCTTCCATGTATATCTTTATCCGATTTCAGTTTTATAGTCCACCAAATGTTGAAAATGAAATATTTGTCGTAATGGTATGAAATTTGGCACTTACGACCGAATTGAGTTTAGAAGCTAGTATGTAAAATTTGGTGTAGATCGGTTCAGATATAGAAATAACTTCCATATATACTGTCCGATCCGATTTGTTATATTTATTACCCACAGCCGCAATATGCACTCCGTAACAACGATATTCAGGGAAATATATCAAATACAGCTCAGAAATATCTTTGTTAAATTTTATCGAGATCGGTTTCGATTTGGATATAGCTCCCATATATATTTTTATCAGATTTCAAATTAACTGTGCACCAAATGGGCAATACAAGTCCGAATTTTAAAGATACAAATGCTTCGGCATATTTAGTCCTTTGAACTTTAAATTATAATTATAATCATAGCGTGTATGATTGAATTCTCCCATAAAAACTTTTAATTGTTATGTGGAACTCTACTTAGTTAGCAAAGTGGTGTAGGGTATCATAAAGTCGGCCCCGCCCGAATTTAAGACTTTCTTTAGTATTTTTTTTTTTTATTAATTTTAACAGAATTTTTATTGTTTTTGAAAATTGCCAAATTCGTCTTAAATGGTAGAGGGTATTCAAAGTTCGGCCCGGCCGAACTTTACTTGTTTTTTTTTTTAATTGTTTTTTGTTTTTGAAATAATATAATGCTATTAAACATTATCGAAACGATCTGGTATTTATAGTTAAAAGTTTGAATTCAGTTACTTTTATATAAAAATGTTGTCTTTACCCAAAGGTGGAGGGTATTCAAAGTTCGGCCCGAACGTACTTAATTTTTTTCCTTGTTTACAATACATTTTTTTAACAACCATTATCTTAAAGGATATTTGAAAGGATAAAGTTATCATATCACACACTCTTTACAATGTAGCGGTGGAGGGTGGGGGAATAGGCATAACGACATACACACAACATTTCCTCCAAAACATTTAAATTCTCACCACATATCTTTTGTATTTTTTTTTTTCATTAGCAAATTCCAACTAAAAATATTTCAATGAAAACTTCGACACATAACTAAAAACCGGATTAAAAAAAAACTTTCATACCAAAATCTTCTTGAAAAGAGAATAATAAAATAAAAAAAAAGATTTGCTCAAGGATCTCGCAATGACATGAATGAAAAATCAAAAGAAATCTATAAAACAGTCCAAGCACGTTCCGAAAGCACTGAAAAGCGAAAAAAAAAACAACAACAGCAAAAATAAAATGAGATTCGTACTCAAAGATATACTCAACGAAGTGAAATCAATGCGATGATTCAAAGAATTGCAAATGTCTGAGGAAGAGAATCAAATTTAAAGCAACGAAAGGAAGTCAAAGTGAAATCAAGAAAAACCAAATAAATAGCAGCAACAACAAATATCGTTATCACTATGACCATAACCAATCAAGAATACAGTGATTTAATCAATTACTTTACAGTTCACAATGTTACAAATCACATCATTTCATTGGCTTTGACGGTCAATGAAACGATGGCGGCCAGTGGCAGAGAAACGCCAGCGACGGGTATGAGTCTGGAACAATCCTGGGATATAATGGATAGCTTAAATAATAGCAATTCAACGATTATGGCCAACTCCTCCGCCTCCTACTACCCTTCAACATTTGGTTCCGCATCATCATCGCCATCATCGTCTACTCTACCATTTATGCACTCGCAAGGCGATAATGCTACATTATTACAATTTTCCAGCAACGACACCACCAACCTTCTCCTGCTAACCAATCGAACGCTGCGGACTGAGAAACGTCCACGTAGCAGCGGCACGGAAATACCCATTTGGTTAATACCCTGCTACAGCATCATATTCATCTTTGCAATAGTTGGCAATTTGCTGGTGGCCTCAACGCTGTTCCAGAATCGACGGATGCGTACCATAACCAATGTGTTTCTGGCCAATTTGGCCATATCCGATATGCTGTTGGGTGTTCTGTGTATGCCCATAACGTTGGTGGGTACCTATTTGAGGCATTTCATATTCGGTGAATTGGTGTGTAAATTTATACAGTTTGCCCAGGGTGAGTATGGAAAACTTATTTTTTTTTCTACTTCTTTTCTTTAACGAATACAACTTACAAAAAACACATATACATACACACATACGTTTTATACTAAGAATAGATGCTGTGGAAATGAAATAAAAGTAGAAAAAACCTATCTTAAGTTGTGCATAAACAACAACAACAACAAAGAGAAAAGAAAAGGATATTGTAGATATAAACTTGTGGCCTCAAGTCCACACAAACAATGGCAAAACAAGAGAGGGAGAGAAAATAGACACACACACAATCGCCGACATGAAACAGAATCAGTGAAATGGAAAATAACAACAACAATAAAGTCAAACGAAGTCCATAAATCATGATAAACATAAATTTATGACACATAAGCAAAGAAAAACACAGACACACACATTTACACACACACCCACACTAACGTAAAATCCTATTGTGCTCATATTCTATGCGGGCTTCTGCTAATCCTGTTTACTCTAATAATCTCTGTGAATAATTTTATTATATCCGAATAGGATCCAGCATTTACTTCCCATCCCCTTCGGGGGTCGGGGGCGTGGGAGTGAGTGAAATTTCTTCACTGCATAATTTAGTTAATTTATTCCGGGAATATTTTGATACAAAGGCCTTTAGTTGTAGGCGCTTTAATACTATCGGAATAACTGGTCCAGCATTTGTCGGATTTGGTAGATAACATGATTTTGCAGCAAATTTTCCTAATCAAGTCAGGGAGGGTGTGGCATTTAAATGCATTTGAATTTATTTAACCTTTAAATTGTTTTCAAAACAAGTTAAAAAGCAGTAAGTTCGGCCGGGCCAAACTTTAAATACCCTCCCACCATTTTGCAACGAATTTGGAAATAAAATCCTTAAAAAATTCTGTTAAAATTTTAAAAATACCGAAAATAGCCGTTATGTTGGTGTCTATACGACGTGGACCTACATAGGCATTGTTTGTCATAAGCCATTACCATATTCAAATTCGAAACTTGAAATAAACGGTGAATAATGTAGCTAAAATCATCAAAATATCGTATATACGAAGTTACCGTTATATCGGAGCTGTGCGAAGACTTGGACCAGCATAGACAATTGTCTTTCATAGGCTGTAGCATCTATTACGAACTTCAAATACGACATTTCAAACAATTTCGGTGAGTATTGTACCTAAAATCGTCAAAATACCGAATATAGGAAGGTACTGGTGGTATATGGGGCATATACGAAGACCTGGACCTGGGCATAGACAATTCTTTGTCTTAGGCTCTCAAACTTCAAATACTAAATTTGAAACAATTCCGGTTATTAATGTGGCTAAAATCATCAAAGTACTGAATATCGGGAGGTACCATTATATGGAGGCTATACAAAGACGTGGACCTGCACAGACAATCTCCTGTCATATGCTGTAGTATTCATTACGAATTTCAAATACAAAATTTGATACAATTCCGGTGAATAATGTCGCTAAAATCATCAAAATACCGAATATCGGGAGGTACCGTTATATGGGGGCTATACCAAAACGTGGACCTACATGTGCCATTTTCAATACCAAAAGACCTGCAGACATAATATACATTTGAGTAAACTGTCATCAATCTAGTTCAATTCGTTCGAAAGCTAGAGGGATTTCCAGAGGCGGAAAGACGGCCGGACATCGCTAAATCGACATAGAATTTTATGCTGACCAGGAATATATAAACTTTGAGGGGTCTAAAATGTATATGTCGAGGTGTTACAAACGGAATGACAAACGGTCGGTTTTGTCGGCAGATGCATACTCTCAGCCAGTGTTCGATAATCTAAATATATTTTGACTTCTATTGTGATTATTTAAATTGTTGACCCTCTATGCAGTAGGTTCCAAAGGAATGGATCAATATGGTATCGGACCTAAATAAATATGATATAAATATTGTGACGTGCCAGGTTTGGACTATATGGGTCGTTTTTGAAATGATGTCATACAGCCCTGCCCGTATGTTACCCTTCGTTTTGTGACCGGGGACATTTGCCCGATATTCATTCACTCGTAGTTTTGTTAGGTATTTCAAACAATTTCACACGAAATTGTGGTCCATTTTACCATTGGTCATTCAAAATATTGAACTTCTACCCAGTCCTTACGTATCTCCTCATGCAAAATTTCGTGTCGATTCGTTAACAATTCTGAACTGTATAGCGATTGCAAGATCAGCCAAACGTTATTTTTTTGGTTCATTTGAACCCCTAAATGTATAACTTCAAAAACAAAATTCTTAAATTTTGACCCTAACCCTACCCCCATGCAAAAAATTTCGTGAGGTTCGGACGGTAACTGTGACCTGTATACAGGGTGAGATGAAAAAAACTGCAACCAACTTCAGACTGCTGTTATTTTTAAGCCACTTATCCGACAGCTGTTAAAATTGTTCCAGTGGGAACTCATTATACTGTTTAGAGGCGTACCAAAGCATTTTGGTGAGAATTTTCCAGAAAAAAGGTTATTTGTGATGGAATTCAAGCGTGATAGTGTTATTTCTCCATATTTAGCTGGAAACCCACAAGTGGCTATCGTTAGAGCACTCCAGCATTTAAATGTGAATAAATCTTTTGTGTCTCGTACCATCGCTCGTTACCGTAATACTCGTAGCGTAGCTCGACTTCAAGGAAGTGGACGGAAGAAAATAGCAACAACAGCAGAAATGGTTCGAAAAGTAAAGAAGCGAAGCGACGAAACCCGCATCGCAGTGGCCGAAAACTGGCTCATGAGCTGAAAATATCGCAATATCCCATTCGACAAATATTGAAAAATGAGCTCGGGCTAAAGCCATTGAAATTTCAAAAAGTGCAGGAACTTACACCGTAACAGAGAGAAAATAGACTCAAATAAGCAAAAGAGTTGTTTCGCTTGGCCGAAAGTGGTGAAGTGCTGAATTGGGGTTTCTCCGAGGAGAAAACATTCGTTGTCCAGCAGTTTGTAAACAAACAAAATGATCGTGTTTACTAGCCAAAGAGGTCAACTGAAAATATGCACCTTCGGTTGGCCACCAGAACTCTAGCGCCGACCATGGTGATGGTGTGGGCCGCCATAACAGTCAATGGTCGCTCTCCGCTTGTATTAAACGACCGTGGCATCAAAATAAATAATATCGCGAAAATAATCTGGAGGGTGTATTAAAGCCTTGGGCACGCAAATATTTTGGCCGCAGACCTTGGACATTCCAACAGGACTCAGCACCATAGCACTTAGCACGCGCCACCCAAGAATGGTTACAAAATGAGGTTCCCCGCTTCATTTCTAGCAAACAATTGCCATCAAAATCTCCGGTTACCAATCCGTTGAACTACTGTGTCTGGAGTATTTTGGAAAGCAAAGTTGGCACAAAAAAATACCAAAGTGTCGATCGCCTCAAGCAAGCGCTTCGCCGCAGAGTAACATTCTGACATCGTGTGACGGGAATCTAGGTCTTACTTCACATTTTATTAGAGTTAGCATTACTAGTATTCAGAATTTTGACCCTTTGTGTGGGAGGTACTCAATGGTGTGCACTGTTATTACTGTGCGATGTTGTCCATTTTAGCACCTGACCTAGCACTGAAGCAAATATTAGGATTTTCAAAGTTGGAGCAAAATCGAATTATCCTTTCTCTTTCTGTGCAATAAAGTATTTTTATGAAAATGTTGGACTTTAGTGGGGGAGATACCAAAAAGAGTGGACCGATATTGTCCATCTCCGAATAATAAGTTTGATAAAATACTCGTTTCGAAAATTATCGTGCGCACCAGCCAGTCAGACGGACGGACATCGCTAGATCGACTCCAAATGTTCTGAAACGGATTTGGTCCAAAGAGACCTAGGGTCTGAAACCGTTATTTCGATGAGGCACTTTTTGGCCGTATCAAATGATACGCCACATTGCTGAGGGTATAAAAATGTTCACATTTTTGTTATCATCTTTTTAATTCGACTTTTCTGAATTGTATTCTTTTCTGCCAGAGGCCATTCTGTATTGGTGAGAATTGTCAAAATTCGTTCTTCAATTATAAGCGTAACTAACATCCCCTTCCTGGATATCAGCATCAATGTAACAGTCAGAAGGGACCTTTTCGTGTTATTGTGATTTCGCTGGAATTAAAAATATTCCCGGTTAAATGGAAATTTTGGTATTTTTGCGTAAAAATTATGGTCTATTTCATCCGCTAAATATTATCCTGAACTCTTTTCAGAGTAAAAATTTTTGTTGTTCCATAATTGTGACCCGTAGGGCAACTACAAAATCATCTTGATTTTCCAATGGTTTGTTATTCCTTCTCCACAAGCAGTATTCCCCAGCATAAAAATTAAACGGCCAATATTTTATATCAACAGCATAATGTAGCTCCAATAATTACTCGCACCCTTTCCTCGGGTAATAATCCAATTGCCTCTATTTAACTATCGCTCCACAAAAAAAGAAATACTTATTTTCCTTATTAAATATTAATTTATTTATTAATGTTCCAATGAACATTTCTCATTGGTTGCGAAAATAGGCCGACAAATTTACAAATGAGGTCTTCCATGCAAACAGTACCTTTTCTCTTGCACTGATGCTTCTAATTACAATACTGGCTTTTAATCTCAAATTATATTTCTCTTAAAATTTACCACTCTCTTCACTCTGTTATAGCATTGTTGTTATTCACGCTCAATTTATATTTATGTGACTAGTGACAACGGTATTCCTAACCAATACTGGGTTTTCTACAATTGGCATAACAAAAGAAAGAGAGCAACAAGGGGGGAAGAATAACAAGGAACAGTTTTTATGTGTCAGTCAGTTAAAGCTACAGAGATGCTGCTGTAGCGTTTCTCACATTAACAGAAGTTCTATATGAAACATCAGGGATCTAGGACCTATATTTCGATGTGTTACAAACTATTTCTCCTAATCAAATTCATAATACCCCCCACATATAGTGTTGTATAATAAACCTAGCATGTTCACATTTTAGATATTTTCACCAATTTAAATTA